GGAGTCCGGTGGAATGTGTGGAGGAGAGGCCGAGGGTTGCTCGCCATCCCCACCGCCCTGGGAAAGAACATGTTCTGCTGCAGACACACACAACACTTACACGGGACACAGAGCCAGGATCACAAACACCATATTGTAGAATAATTTCCAATCAGAGTCCAGGAAATGTCGGGTGGAGGGGAGAATCAGGAGCTGGGCCCTTTCCAAACCCCGCTCGCGGGCGGCTGGAGGGTGCTGGGGGGCCTGGGGTGAGTGTTGGGTCACTTCTCGTCTGCACGCCCCCCAAAAAGAGCAGCCTGGGCGGGAGAAGCCTCTCTGAGAGCCCCAGAAGTCACCCCTGGGCCCAAAACATCCCCTGAAATGATTAAGACCATCACACACCTTCCAAGCAGGCATCCCGATGACAGCTTTAAGAGAGGACAAATAGTTGGATTGCTGTAGGTAGCAGATGTCTCTGTCGCTCTGCTCCGCTGTATTTCTCTATTTATTCGCCAAGCATCCCGATTTTCTGGTGTCTAAACTGAAATCAAAGCAGGAACTCAGAGTCTGACCGGGGATAGGAGGGCAGGAAACTTTCTGAACTTTGTTGTTCGCTCGGAGACACTCACGGGCACACGTGTAAAAAAAGCACTGCACGCTTTCCCGGGACGAAAGGAAGTTAAAGCTGGGGTGGTTTGGGGGGCTGAGGACACGGAAGGTGAGCTGGGAAAGCCTCGAGCAGCAGGAGCTGATATTTCAAATAAAAAGGAAGGGCTGGCCCAGGTCGTGCAGCTCCTCCGAGGGTTTTGCCCCCCGTGGCACTGCAGGGGCTGGGTCGGTGCCAGGCTGCACCCAGAGAGGAAAGCGAGAGAGCAGAGGGAACCGGCAGCCCCAAAACCATCCCCCCAACCCCCCGGCTGACCCGAACCTGCCTTTATTTCCCAGGCACGGACAGAAAACGCGGCCGCCAGACCTACACCAGGTACCAGACCCTGGAGCTGGAGAAGGAGTTCCACTACAACCGCTACCTGACCAGGAGGAGACGCATCGAGATCGCCCACGCGCTGTGTCTCACCGAGAGGCAGATCAAAATCTGGTTCCAGAACCGCCGCATGAAGTGGAAAAAAGAGAATAAAAGCGCCTGCTCCGGCTCCGGCGGTCAGGAAAAACCAGACGCGGAGGACGACGAGGAGGAATGAGAGGGGCGAGAGAGGTGGATGCAGGAAACGTGGAGGGAAGAGAGGGCGAAACGCACGGGGAAAAAAAAAAGACTATGTATAAAAATAGAGAAATGAGAAGTGCATAAAGAATTCAGAACCCTAGGAGTGATACGTCGTGTTTCCTGACACTGAAAAAAAAATACTACCTATATTAAAGTCCTTTTTTTTTTTGTACAATAGAATATCTACCTATTAAATGTGGCTTTAGAGTCAGAATAGACACATTTTTCTATGTGAGCCTTCCCCTAGTACCGGTAATTTGTAAATCTCCGTTTGTACTTCGCTGTGTACTTTTTTTTTTTGGTAAAGAAGTAACGTGGTCGTGTTTTAGCACCTTTTTAATTTAGAAAATGTGACCCGAAAGCCTGAATGCAAATCACACTTAGCCTATAGAGTCCTGTACAGAATATGGATTATTACTATCCCTTCTCCCTGTAACCTCTGTGGTTCTTTTCTCCTTGCTATGCTCTTTTGTCTGTGTATATTTTTACCTGGGTTCCTTCGTTGTTCAAGTCTCTAAGAGGGGGGGGAGGAAAATTAAAAAAAAAAAAAAGACAGATAAGAAAAGGGAAAAGAAGAGGAATTAATATCGTGCTAAGTAAAATGTTGTATATCAAAGTAGCAAATTATTTAATGGCGACGCGTTGCTTTTTTATTATTATTATTATTATTATTATTATTTTCCTTGTCTGTGATTATCATTCTTCGAAATAAAAGGGAAATCTCCAGTAATCCACCAAGGCGTTGGGTGCGTTCCCCTTTTCTTATTAAAGACAACACACGGGGGGTTGAAGTACCTTTTTTTTCCCGTGGAAAATAAATGAGATAAAACATCCTTTTACCCCCATCTAGCCCCTAAATTTCAATCCTTTTCTTTGAGACGGACAACCCGTTCAAAATATTGGAGTTTTTCCCCGTAGATTTGGCGAATATACCGAGAAATAACGGATATTCGGGGCTCTCCAAATGCGGGCCGGTCCCTTTTCTGTCCCTCCCTCTGTGATTGCGCTGGTGCTGCTACCGAGAAAGGTAAGAGCGAAAAGGAGGAACGTAAAGAGCCCAGAATCAGCCCAAATAGCCTTTCCGCTCCTTACTTTAATTCTCTTCTTCTCGTAACTAATTTACAGAAAACCTGTTTTACCGCGCCTTCGGTAATTTTCTTTTTATTTTCTTTTTTTTTTTTTTTTTTAAGATTCTCCCTCCTCCCTTCAGCGGCTTTACTGCGGACCACCACTCTTTTCATTAGCGCCAAATAACGTTTAGCATCAAAGCGCGCATAAAATAAATTAAAGCAATTAAACGCGGGGAAGAAGGGGGGGGCGTAAAAAAAAAAACACAAAAAAAACAAAAAAAAAATCAACAACGCCAAACAAAAGGCGAGTAAATTTAAGCATCATCCGCCTCCTTCGCCCCCCCTCCCAGCGCTGTTTATTTACAGCGCAGTAAAGACGCGGATCCTCCCGCGGAGGCTCCACGGAATTCACTCCGTAAAAAAAGATGCCCGGGGAAGGGGGGGGAATAAAAAAAAAAAAAGTGGCCGGTTCTGGAAGGAGTTGGCGGTGGCAGCTCCCCACCTTCCCCCTTCCCTCCTTCCCTCCTTCCCTCCTTCCCTCCTTCCCTCTCTCCCTCCCTCCCTCCTTCCCGACCAGTCCAGGATGTGGCCCCAGGGATGCAGCAGCATTCCGAAGCCTTCCAGGGGATGCCAACCCAGTATTACCCAGCAGGATTCTCTGGGCGT